CTTTCACAATTTGAAAGGGCACGATGCCGTCTTCTTGCAACATCAACTTCTCCAAGAAGACAGACGTATAGAAGATATGGTCTATGTGGATATCAAGGTCCTTTCCTTTCGTGTGGGGTGTATCACGTTTAAAGATCCTCTTTGTTTCTTGCTCATGTCTCTGTCTGCGTTTACCTCCACCTTTGATATTTCTGAATTAAAGAAAAAGATTTTTTACCTATCTCTTCAATACTCTTGAACATCAAGAGTGTGTGGGGTGTCTGCCTGACGTCACTTACTACGATTCCGAAGAGATGCCTGCTTCGAAGAAAAAGGATTTTGAAACGTGGTACGCGTCTCAACAAGGAGTAGTCTTTCATCTCAAACAAGATTTAGTAGCGTTCTGGAAATCGGACGTGGCCCTTCTCAAAGCCGGCTGTGAGAAATTTGTCACCGAATTTCGAGTGATTACAGAGTGGTGTGGATTTTTGGCTTTTTTAATGCTTTAAAGTATTTATAAATTTTTTTTAATGATGTAATGTGGTTTTAGGATGTCCCCAGTTAGTGCTATTAATTAGTGTATTAGCTTTAGAGTATTTATTTATTTGTTTTAATGATGTAATGTAGTTTTAGGGTGTCTCCAATTAGTGCCTACAGGCACTAGAAAGACTAGGAACGTTAATAAAGGTTATATATGTATGTATGTATCACGATTCCCTCTGCCTGCAGTCGTTATTGGCGAAAATGTCATCTATCTTCGAAGTGTTTGGCAGTAGAGCCCACTCGTGCCGGATGGAATGGTGCCCAATGAATCATTCAAGAATGAGTGGTTGCTTTGGAACGAACACCAGCTGTCACACACTTCTTCTTCTACACCGCTTATTCAACACGTACGTAATGGGGGAGAACAGATAATTGCAGCCACACCTTTTGCCTATCGCGTAGATGGTTTGGATCGTACCACCCACACCGTCTAAGAATTCCATGGGTGTCAGTATCATGGGTGTCGTCAATGCTTTCCCGACCGAACCCGATACTCTTTTGCCTCCCCCCGACCATGCCATGGAAGCCTTGTATCAGGCCATTCTGCAAAAGACCAAGTCTCTAAGAGCTATGGGATATACCGTTGTTGAAATGTGGGTATGTGAGTGGAAATCAAAGGTGAGTGCCTCACCCGAGATTCAAGCGTTTCTTTCTTCTCTTGACATGGTACTACCTCTCAATCCTCGAGATGCAATTTTTGGGAGACGTACTGGTGCTGCTTCGCTTTGTTACAAAGCGGCCGAACCCAAGGGGAAGAAATACGTGACGTGGACGTCACGTCCGAATACCCTTGGTTGAACAAGTATGGTATGTACCCAGTCGCACATCCTACCATTCTCTTTGAACCCGAGGATCACGTTTCCTCTTTGTCGGACCTGTGTGGAGGAAGAGGGTGTGAAACGTATGTTGGAGAGAAACATGTGCTGATCTCACACGGAGATGCAACGTATGTTGCGTGGTACGTGGTGTACTCCAGAGATCTTGAAAGCCCTTAATGTGGGATATCGCGTACATACATACATACATACATACGTTTTATTTATCCTCGGATTTCAGTGTAGCTTACAAGCTAGTATCTCCGATCCTAATTACTAATTTTAAAAGTTACAGCAAGAACAACGCTAAAAAGAAAAAAACATAATTCATAATATGATAATATAATAATCATTAAGATAATAATATAATGTAATATTAATGTAATATTAACAGAAACCGTACACTAACAGTTTGCGCTTAAATTCACTATAGTCTACAGTCTTTCTAAAGTGGTCAGGCAGGGTGTTCCAGTACTTAACAGAAGTATCGCATTCACGAAATCCATCATTTTCCCGAGGATCAGAGGGTCACAGGTCTGTTTGCCTCCTATGTCAACGTAACACCTGGTTGAAAATCAAGCAGGAAAGTGGTGGGTTTCCAGCATGGACTCGGGATGAGCAGGATCAACTCAATATGCTTCATAAGAGATCCGAGTACGTGGACAAGTACCAAGAACCTGAAGGGATTGTGCTCGACCCTATGCTCATTGCTAAGAATTCTTGATGTAAGATGACGACGAAACTCATATTGAATTCGTTCTGGGGAAAGTTTGAGGAACGCACGAACAAGTGTAAAGTCACTGAACTCACGCAAGCTACCGATTTGTTTGCGCTCCTCAATAGTCCGCTCGTCGACATCTCTACCTTACGCATCTTGAATACCGATCTCTTGGAAGTATCCTACAAGAGAATCTCGGAAGATGCAGACAAGGATACCAAGACCAACACCTTTATTGCCGCCTTCACGACCTGACAAGCCCGATTGAAACTTTATCAGTTTTTAGAACAACTGGGTGACCGTGCCTTCTACTACGATACGGATTCCGAGATCTACATCTGGAAGTCTTTTCAAACCAAAATCCCTTTGGGTGATTATCTGGGGGATATGAAGAACCGACTGGACGAAGGAGATTTCATCCCCGAATTCGTCTCGGGGGGTGCTAAAAGTTATGGTTCCGTGACTAAAAAGGGTAAGACGGTCTGCAAAGTACGTGGGTCTTCTCTCAACGTCCGCAGTGCTCCTCAATTGAATTACGAGGTCATAAAGCACAATATCTTGGAAGAAATCCTAGATCCTTTGGACGAGAGACGCGAGACCCTCATAGTCAACTCCACACACTTTGTGAGAAATCCCGTCCAGAAACACACACACACACCAGAAAACAGACTAAGAAGTACGGACTCGTCTTCGACAAACGCGTATTGGATCAAGGGACCCTTAAATCGTACCCTTACGGTTACGAACGTTTTGAACTCAATGAATAAGACCTGGTGAACATAGAATCACTTTTATTGTAAAAAAAAAGCAAAATGTGTTTTTTCAAATGTAATAAAAAATATCTGATTACATGATACAATATGGATCTGGTCTGAGAGTCGGCCTTAGTAGCACAAACTATAGTTGTGTTCTCTTTCGTTACCAGAATCGTTTATTCATAATCTTTGAATCCCCTGCGTCATACATTCTATCCATTTAGGTAGATAATTTTTTCGTAATTTCATCTTTCTTTCATTGTTTCGTAGTGAAATGTATTGGATCTGTTTGGGTTCATAGTAATAACTGCCTTTTAAGATAGGGTGGTAATAAATCTGCATCATCAGGTCGTTTGTCTGATCTCCCATGAGGACGGGTGCACAGAGAGACGAGTACAGGTAGAGTGTGCGAGCAAAAGATTCGTTCTTGCTTGTGCCTCCTTTGGTGTTGGCGAAAGTATAGACGATCTCGTTGAGATAGAACCTTTTCATATCTGTTCCAGAGGATTGAATCGAGTTTATGTCATATCTATTGTTTACATTTTGAGTCGTAAGTGATCTCGAAACAGTCCAGAAGCGACCAATTTTGTAAGTGTTAAGATTCGACCCGGCACTATCAACTGTCGATGTGTTCAACACACCACCACCATAATAGGAAACGTCAGTTGACGTTGTTCATCCCATTAATTCACACAAATCAATACGAAGGCAGAAATAAATGTTACTTCTGATGTTTGAATTGGAGATGGAAGAACTGACGTCTTCGGTGGTCACCGTGAATGTTTCACCCTCGTCGTCGGCAATGACCTTGAACTGCGCTTTGTCACCGTTTGCAAACGTAATTGCTCAGGCGTTTCCCAAGTCGAAGACGTTTTTAGTTCGTTCGATGTCGAACAAAGCTTTCAAGAGATCGTGAGCCGTGTCGATGCGTCTTTCTTTAAGCTCTCCAGGAAAAGACGCACAGACTATGTGGAGAGACCCCGCTCTTGTACGTGCATCGTTTGGTGTTGATGAAGGTCCACGCAATCTCGCTGAGATAGAATTCAACCGTCTCATCTCCACTTCGGTTCCCAGTAAATTTTGTATCTATTCATAAAATTACGAGTATTGAGGTTCCTCGTAACGGTCCATGTGCTACTGAGTTTCTTCGATTCGTGATGAGATTCGGTCCGAGTGCTTGAAAGTCGGGTGCATATTTCAGATTTCCATAGCTGAATGTAATTGACTTCGTCTTTCGCTATCTCTTCAATTCACACAAATCATACTTGAGCGAGAAATCAATGCAATTTCTGATGTCTGAATTGGAGATGGAAGAACTGACGTGTTCGGCCGTCACGGTGAACATTTCGCCCTCGTCATCGGCAATGACCTGGAATAGTGCACTTTCGCCGCTGGCCAACTTGGTATTCCATACATTCCCCAAATCAATGATGCATTTTTCTCATTTGACGTCGAACAAAGATTTCAAGAGATCGTGANATTGTATCTGACCAAACTTATAGGTAATTGTCAATTAAAAATAAAAAGATGTCTATTCAGATGGCAACAAAAAACAGTGTGCTATCCAAACACAACTTTGTTGTGCAGACTTAAATAGGAACATCGTGTTGCAAGGAGGCAGCGGTGTCACTACATTCCAACTTCTTACAAATATAAAGAGCAATGACTAAAAATATTTTACAGATGCATGGCATTTTGTGGAATTATAGCATTATGAAAGAACAGGAAAATATTATTCTAAAGCTGGCAACCTACCTAAATCGGTAAGTTTTGTAACTGTCATTTTTAAGGTATTTTAGTCATGTGGTTGCAGAATATCTCTATTGAGTAGTATATTATTGTTCTGAAATTTTGTGAACATTTAAATCGTAAGCTAAACACACAGTTGTGGTTAAAAGTAATCATTCTTCTGTAAAAGTAGCACTCTCCTTCTTGGTTTACATTTCAAATGGCAGTTTTAAGCCTTGAAATAATTTTTCAAGAATGATTTGTGTCGCAAAATTAACTAATAAACATAAAAAGAAAAAATGCCTCACCAGATGCACCTTTCCCTCTCTACATCTGAAAGAACAAATGCCATTTCACATGATCCTACAATGGATGCAAAAACATGCCCTCACTAATATGTCTTTCCTTAAAACTTTCTTTTTTGACAGAACAACATAACATTCCCCTTCCTCATTCCAAGATCAGGTGAATTTGTACACACATTTTTTTTGTGCTCGTTTAACTGCAATCTTTTTTCTAGTACCTATTTTCTTCAGAAGAGGAAAAATATGCACGTATACACAATTGCATGCATGCACATACTTGTTCGCTTTCCTTTGTTTACATAGTTTGACATGCCAGTGTTCATTTAATCATAAATAAACTTACAGCTGCCAGAGATATTTTTTATAATAACCTTTACCTGGACAAAAATTTTATGTAGACAACAAGCACTAGTAAGACAGATTCTGGAACTGAGATGCTGTCAAGTCTTAGGAACCAAGTTGACAGAGAGTTAGTGGAAGTGACAAGAAGAGGGATGAACTTGTTTCTTAGATCAAGGGGATATCTTGGCTTGAGAAAGCTAAATTTTTTGGAGATCATAAAAGAAATCCAAACCCTTTGTCCAACGGTATTCACAGGTCTGTCTCAGATGATCCTGTTGGACCAAAATCCAGAAAAGAGAACAGCTCCACTGGCACTTTTGTATCAGGGCTGATCGTCTTCCTGGGATGTCACTAATTAAGTCGGATGCAGAAAGTGAATACAGTATTACTCACAGAGGGTGATTATTTCTGTGTAACATTGCCATATAATTGGTCAAATTAGAAAATAGTTCGGTAGCGTTATTGAAAAAAATCAATTTCAGAAACAATTTATTCCAAACGTGTGCCAATTCCTGTGATAACCCACCCCATGGGTAGCTGAAAATTAGACTACCTACCCCTAACCAGGAGCCCAAAAGCTCATGACCCACCCCCATCTCTGCTGCAGCCCACCTGTTATCTCTGCAGCAGCCCATCTGTTATACTTTTTGACCAGTTCCTAATGACAAGAAAAGTAAGAGGAGAGCAATAGAATCCATTACTTTTCTTTAAATGGTCTACCTATAATGTATCTTATGCAATGTATATATGAGCAGTATTCCTTTTTCAGCTTGTTTTTAAGGAGGCTTTACAATAATTCTGTTCGAGAAATGGGCACAATGCAGTAATGGGCACATGGCAGTAATGGGCACAGTGCAGTACTTCATTGAAAAACTCTAGAGAAGAAATGTCACTCGATCAATGTGTAAATCATTATGAGGACTGCCAGCAGTTGTTTCTTAGCATTGGTAGGTGTTGTACTGCGGAAGCATTGCTAGAGTTGTTTGTCATGGTTGACCAGAACTGTCAGCCAACTACGAACAGGCTGCCGCACTACATGTTAGAGGTGGGAAACAACCAGCAGGTCTATAATCATGCACTCCGTGCTAGACAAATTCACAGGTCAGTTCCTTCTACAACCTACCCAAGATCCTGTTGAACATGATTCCAGCACAGATGAAGATCCACAATTACTCAATGTGAATTCTTAAGTATTTCTTCCTTCTCCTTACTTCCAGGATGTTGTCAGAGAAGGAAATGGTGCAAGGCTTGCAACTTTGCATAAGGTTTTGGTACAA